TCTTAAACTCACTGCAATCCTCCTGCCTCAGCCTTCCAAGTGCTAGGACTATCAGTGTCCACTGTCCCTGACAAAAAGGGTGTTCTTTACCAGTACAGCATACTATTTTTCCATGAAACGTGTTTTCCAATTTTAGGAAAGGTAAAGACAGGTTTATTTAAACTTTATTCAATTTCACGAATTAAAAAGACAGAGGATGAAATGGCTCCTGCCCACTGCTGATCATCAACCTTTCTGAACAGGAGATCATTGTTCTTAGTTCCTTGTTTAACCCGTCCAGAAAATTTTCATGTGCATACAAGCACTTCCTTGCTTCCTTAAAGAAAAAAAAACCAGAAACTAGCACACAGTGCACATTTTCCTACTTTGCTTTTATAACAAGACATCCTGGAGAACTTTCTGTATGAACTCAGAGTTGCCTCTTTGCACAACTCCTAACTTCACTCACTATCGGAGTATTTATCTCACGAGTCTCCCGCTGATGGACACTCAAGGAACTGAATAATCTTTTTGCCTTTATTACCTCACACAAGTACAAATGTATCTGCAGGTTAAATTCCTAGAACTGGCATTGCTGGGTAAAGGATTTACACACTTGTAGCTTTTTATAAGCTATTGCCAGATGTGGTAGTACATGCCACAGAGGCAGAAGGGCTCTGTGAGTTCCAGGCCAGCCTGGTCTACATAGTGAGTTCCAGACAAGCCAGACTTACATAGTGAGACTCTGTCTCAAAAATAAAGAAACAAAAAGGCTATTTCCCAGTGCTCTCATAAACATCGGGGTCTACACAAGGAAACAGCCATCTCTTTAAAGGCTCTAAAACAGGAAAATTCATGTAAGAATTGGTTACATATGTGATGGAAAGATAAGCAACACTAAGACTGTCCTGAGGTCATCAGGAGCAAGAACCTCTCCCACCTTCTGTTGGAAGACAGAAGACAAAAGGATTTCCAAAGCTCAAAGGGCCAGGGCCAAGGGACAGCAGAGACACTGCCTGAGGCAGAATGGTTGAGAAAGAACCAGGTGTCTCAGTTCCTTTGGCCTCCAATCTCCCCAGTGGCAACCCTGCCCTGAAGCCACTGACCAAGCGGTATTGAACCCCTCTGTGAGAGAAGGGTAAGGAATGGAACCCAGCCAACAGGACCCAAGGTCTTCGAAGCCTCCTTGGGAGCCCTGACTAGTTTGCACTGCCACCAGCAAAGGCTGAGCTGGCCTTACCAGCATTCTGCTTTCAAACTCAGAACTCATCACTGACAGGTGATCTCAACCTAGTTTTAGTTTTATATTTATTTTTGGCATCCCAAGTGCCATTTCACTTGAGCACACACTTTACTCTCATCTGTACTAATGGTAATGGGGGTGACAGTTTGGGGATGTCTATCAATGCCAACCACCTCACTGGCCCTGTGGCCCATTGAGGAACCGGGATCAGGTGGTGGCATTAAGCCAAACTAGCCAGTCACCTTCTAAGTAGAGACCTATTTCAAGAACTGTTCTAGAAAATCTGAAAGGCACTGAAATGCCAAGTAAAAATACCTTAACTATAATCTGCACACATTACAAGAAACAATGTGTTCTTGTAATCTTGTGCCCCCACTTGCTCCTCCTTGTAACTGCCTTCCAGCCATTCATGCGCCATCCTCTCCTTATCTTACCTTGAAAAGAACAAATAATTAAACCCTGGACAAAAAAAGTTCAGTTGTAAACAGCAAGTAGGAATCAATTTTTCAAAGTCTTTTTAACGTGATCAACACACTAGCAATAAAAAGATCTTTTAAATTCTGAGTAAATTTAACTTTTATCTTCCAAGCAAGCTGAACAAATCCCCCAGACATAAAGTACTCTAATGACATGCCAAAACAAAAAATGCTATGCTTTATAACTGCCTGGCAACTGAAACTATTCTTCAAAAGGCTGATTTTTGAAAAATATATTTTTTGGGTCTTTTTGAGACAGGGTCTCCTTGTAGCCCCAGCTGACCTGGCTCTCACTATGTAGACCAGGCTGGCCTCAATCTCACTAAGATCCACCTGCCCCTGCCTCTCAACCTCTCAAGTGCTGTGATTAAAAGTATGTGCTACTACTCCCAGCAAAACAAATTTTTAAATTTTTTAAAAATTTTATTTATGTGTATGAGTGTTTTGCCTATATGCAGGTAAATGCACCCATGTCATGCAATGCCCACAAAAGCCAGAAGAGGACATCAGATCCCCCTGGAACCGGAGTTTCAGACAGTTGTTAGCTGCCAAGTGGGTGCTGGGAACCAAACCCAGGTCCTCTGCAAGAGCAGCCAGTGCTCTTAGCTCTCATCTCTCCAGTCCTGGATATAAATGGGATTAACTGCAATAAAATGTTTGTTAACTTCAAACCTCTAACAATCAAGAGTTAAATATAAGCATATCAAATTCATACAATAATTATATGACTCATAACTCAAAATTGTGAAAGATTTTCACTTGATTCAAAATCAAAGACACTAACATTGCAAAACATAGTTTTAAGTATCTTCCACAATACAAAGAGGAAAGATTTTGATAAACCAAATCAATAAAGGTTAAAAAGGTGTTTTCTGCCACCTAGCATGGTGTCTGGCATTTCAGTAGAAAAAAAAATCAATAAATCTGTTCATTATTGAATGTTCCAGGGAGGTGAATTAAATGATACTGTACATTTAAAAATATCCACATGACGTTCATAAGCTCTGGGGTTTTTCTTTTCAAATTTAAAAGTAATGCACTCTTATTCAAGGAACCTAGAAAACATAGAAGAAAATAAAACATCTATAATGCTATCAGTTTTTGCATTGTTCAGGCCAGGAAGTATAAAATAACTCATTTTTTGTTTTTAAATTTTATGTGTGTACACACTTGCCACACCACACATGTGGAGGTCAAAGGACAACTTGCTGAAGTCAGTTTTCTCCCACCCATGGGTCCCAGGGATCAAACTCAGGCCACCAGGCTTGACAGCAGGCGCCTTTACCTGCTGAGCCATCTCTCCAGCCCCTTAAATACTTGTTTTTAATGATCAGAAAATGTCTCAAAAGAAACCTTAGCTTACCTTTCCCCTACCATTGGACATTATTATCTTCAATTTTTTATCTTTTATCATGGAATTCGGCATCTTTGAGCATAACATCCTTTTAATTTCAAGGTTGTTTCTCTATGATATAGTCCCAAAAGAGATATGAATAGCCCAAAGATAGTTTTAAGCCTTTTGGGTATCTTCCTCTTGAATCATATTTTTAAAATAATGTTTTTATTATTGAGAATTTCATACAATATATTTTTTATTATATTCACCCCTTTCCCCATCTCCTCCCAGATCCACTCCCACCTCCCTTTTTTGATATTTAATATCATCCTTTATTATAATTCCCAAAATCTAAAAACTTGTGAAACACACTGGTGTGCCTCCCCCCCCATAATCTGCTTTTACCTTCAAGTCTTCCACCTTTCTTCGATAGCCTCTTCAATACAATCGCCACCCAAGTAGCTTCCTGGACTCTAATGTCAAATGTTTAACTGCTGCCGTTGTCTTTTTATTTTCTACACTGCACCATCACGCGGTGATTCAGGCAAAGGGTGAGGCACCCACAGAGAATACATTACTTAGGATCTGGTGTCTGGCTTGTAGGAGGGTTTGTAACTGGGCTCCTTCTTTCCATAAACAACACACCCACTCAGTGCCACAATGCTACCCCTGGCTTTAACTATGAGAGCTCAACTCGCCAAATGCCACAACGGGTGCCAACTTCCCACCAGCCCAGCCACATCACTGCTTTCAGTAACAAAAATTCTGTCTGAACAGTGCTGGAATTCTAGAAGGCACCTTGATTAACCACTTCACGGGGAAGCCTTCCATACTGCTGATTCTTACAGGCAGCTGCTCCAGCAGCCTGTAATTAAGACTTTTTTCTAAACGCTCCCTTATATTACATGGGGAGCATTCTGTCAGAAAAAAAGACGATGGTTACTGAAAGTTCAGACAGCTTCAACTTGGTGTGTTCCAATAAATGAATAAATAAATAACAAATAAAGGAGTATTAACCCTTTGCTTTCTAAATCAGTGATCCACTCCACACATTATTCTGTTTTGGAAAACTGAATCCACGGCATGACACAACAGTCATTTGTATTCCACTAAATAATCTACAACCAACAGGACACTTCCAGTAGGATAAAACTGTCAGGCACACTCAACCTGAGCCACACCAAGCACGACCCATTCTAGAAAGGTGTCCACCACCCTTGACCTAGACTTGCTGGCTGTGGTTCCTGATTCCCATGCCTAGTCACACTGATCCCTTTCATTTATTTATTTTTTTTCTTTTGGGTGGTATTGGGGGATCTAACCCCAGAGCCTTGTGTATGCTAGGCAAGCACTCTAACCACTGAGCTATAAGCACCCCCCCCTTATTTTCCAATTCCCCCCCCCCTTACTCTGTAGCCTTTCTGTTATTTAATAAAATGCATGCTCACACCTGGACTCTTAGTTTAAGCCTTTCCCAGCGATCCCTTCTAATCTAAAAACCAGACACCTGATCATGATTTCCAACATTCCCCCCTCCCCCGGTGCACCCCAAATTGAAAACTTTCACCCTCCCCATTATTTCCCACGGGCTCCCCAGCTCCAGACACCTGAGAAAAACTGGAAGACAAGAGGTCCGTCCGAAACATTGCGGCTCAGGAGGGCGGGGACGCCCTTGGCAACGAGAGGCGGGGAAGGTCGCCCCGCAAGGTCCCCTCTCGACCTCGGAAGGGCGACCCCAGGCTGCGCCGCGGAGATCCCCCGGCCTCGAACCCGCGACGCACTGGGCGGCGACGCCTGGGTTCCCGGAGTGTCCCCCTCCCCCGGGGCTGCAGAACCCGCGTCGCCGTCTCAGCCCCACGCGTCTCCCCGCCGGCGCCGGGTCACCAGCCTCAAGCTCCGGGTCTCCACAGCGCAACCCCCGGCCCCAGGGCCGCCCTGCCAGCCGGGCCACACCTCCGTCACTCACCGCTGCCGCCCTCACCGCCACCGTCTTCGTCCATCTTGAGGCCACTCCCCGCAAATCGGCGCGCCTGGAGCCCGCAGGAGCAACGGGGTGGAAAACCCGTACCCAAGGAAGCGGCCGCGGGGACAACCGGGCGGCTCCTCAGCGAGCGCGACCCGGGTCGCGGCCAGGCCTCCTCGGCGGGCCGGGCGGGGCCTCACCACTCAGCGCGCTGTCACGTGATACAAGCCACGCCCTCTCCGGCCAAGATAGGCGGAGTCTTGGGGTGCGGCCCCGCCCTCATGACCACGCCACGCCTTGCAGTAGCTGCAGTGGCTGAGCTTGGAGAGAACTGGCTGGATCCTGCAGCGCTGTGCCGGCACTGGAACCTCCAGTCTCCCACTCTAAAGCAACCTGGAGACAAACACGCGTCCGTCAGAGGAATGGGGACGCTCCACGCCACAAAACTCGGTGGCCAGGGTAAGGCTCACACGTGCACGGGGTGAGAGTGGAAAAAGATCTAGCACTGAGGGCTGATGAGACAGTCCAACTGTCCCTGGAACCCACGTAAAGGTGGAAGGCGAGAAGAGACTCCACGAAGTTGTCCTCCGACCTCCACATGGGGCTCACACACATCATAAACACACACAATGATAACTGGTTTTTTGTTTTTTTGGTTGGTTTTTTTTTTTTTTTTTTTTTCGGTCTTTTTGAGACAGGGTCTCCCTGTAGCCCCGGCTGTCCTGGAACTCACTATGTAGACCAGGCTGGCCTTGAACTCACAGAGATCCGCCTGCCTCTGCCTCCCAAGTGCTGGGATTAAAGGAGTGTGCCACCACGCCTGGTCCAATAATTAAGTTTTAAAATCAGAAAATGGGGCCTGAAGAAATAGCTCAGCAAACGAAAGCACTTGCTGCTCTTGCAGAGGACCCAAGTTCAGTTCCCAGCACCCACATCAGGCGGCTCACAACCCCTGTAACTCCAGCTCCAGAAGGTCCTCTCCCACCCTCCCTCTGGGAGCACATGCACTCAGGTGCATGGAGACACACAGACTTACACATACTTAAAATCTTTTTTAAAATAATAAAAGAGCCACAGGGTGTGGTAGTGCAAACCTTTAATTCCAGCACCCGGGAGGCAGAGGCAGGTGGTTCTGTAGGAGTTTGAGGCCAGCCTGGTCTACATATCAAATTCCAGGACAGTTGGGCTACAAGGAGGCCCTGTCTCAAAAAAATAAAATAACAATAATAATAATAATAATAGTAATAGTAATGAAAGCCAGGCATGATGGTGCAGGCCTTTAATTCCAGCATTCAGGAAGCAGAGGCAGGTGGATCATCATCATCATCATCATCAGAAAATAAACCCACTGGGAAGTCAGGCCTTTCCCCCTCTTCTACCTCAGAACACATCAGAGTAATAGCAGGGTCCTTCATATTTCTGATGTATAATATAATGGAGCCTCCTTTTTCCTGGTGATTGGATGCATTTTAAAATTAATAAAGTGTAAGGCTTAAAATGAACAAAGTCATGAGGTTGGAACCTAATCCCAGTAAACCACAGCTGGGGCCCAGCTCTCAGAGAGCATTATTATAAGGGTTGGCCAGTCTGGCGTCAGATGCCCTTGGAGTTGAGCTTTAGACTCCCTTGGACTGCTGCCAGCTGCCCTGGATTTATGATGCAGTAGGAGCTCTGAATTCAATTTCCCATGGGCACAGCCCAGGGCTCAGCAGACAGCCTCAGTTCGCCCCTGTTCCAAATCTATGGCTTGCCTTTCTCATTCTGTTTGTCTTGTTTCCAGTAACCTCTCCTGTAGCTTTGACTGTGGGCCCCTCCCAAGCCTTTCTGCTCAAACTAAATTGCATTAAAGGAAAGCAAACATTGTAAGGGAGAAAATGGTTCATCTGTAATAGAATTTTCCAGCAACTGTTTTATGTTTACAAATTGCCCATTGAATCAAAGGATGCTCTGCCATCATCTATCAAATAGCAGACAGCCTTCACCTTTTTGCTCAAGGTTATAGGATGACTCCAAAGAGTTCCATTTCCTAATAACCTCAAGAATTAAACACCAGGCATTCTGGTGTTTCCTAAGCCAGAGAAGATGCTTCTAGGTGTTGATAAGCTATTTAGCAGATTGTGTGACAAAGATGCACTATAGAAACCATCCCATATTCAGGGTATGTTGGTTCAAGTCCTAAAACACAAATGTGGCTTTCTAACCTTGTTCCTGTCAGCTTTGTTATCCAAGATAACACAGCATCCTTTGAACTTGATAATGTGCTATGGTAGAGCTTTGAACTCAGATATTATCAGTTAGAAATACTTTTCAATATTCATTCCTGGGCTGGTGTGATGGCTCAGTGGGCAAAGGCGCTTGCTGCCAAGCCTGATCACCAGAGTTCCATCCCCAGGAGCCACATGGTCAAAGGAGAGAACCAACTCCTGCAAGTTGTCCTCTGACCTCCACACCAAGCACACACATTCACATACACAACAATAAAATTTGAAATGTATCTATTAGCAGAGCATGGTGGTGCACACCTTTAGTCCCAGCACTTGGGAGACAAAGACAGGCAGATCTCTGTGAAATCAAGGCCAGCCTGACCTACATATCTAGTTCGAGGCCAGCTGGGACTACAGGAAGACCTTGTCGTCTCTAAAAAAGAAAAATTATATATA